TTATTTTATGATGTTCTGATGAATTAGGAACAGAAACGATAAGAAAATATCTTTTTTATTATAACGTTTGCTTTTGTACAAGTTATAGTAATAATACTATATTTGGCGTTTATTAAGCGATAGTACCTATGAACGTAAATGAAAAATTAGAAGTGTGCACTTTTAAATTATTTTTTACTTTTTTGTATGTTATTTTGATAGTAAAACTTAATAAAATTAGTAAAACTGTTATTTAAGTGATTTCACTTAAAAATTAAAAATTAAAACGACATATCTTAAAAAATATTGTTTACTTTTTCATTACATATATTTTTCTTACGTCTAATGACGACCTAAAACATGGAAATTTACTGCTTTAAGGTTATGGTTAAATTTTGTGTTGACCCGAGTAATTTGTAAACAATTTCTTGCGCATACCTTTGCACAATGAATTTGTAAACATTGCTGAATAGTAGACTACAAAATGACAGATCATGACATATTAAAAATGGCCGAAACGACATTTAGAAATCAAATCAATCCTATTGGAAAACTCGATAATTTCCTTTGCATATGAGCATTCCTTCATATTTTTTTATTAATTCTTAATTGTTGCTTTGTCGTCTAAGACATTTGGTTCGTGCGAAATATACTTTAACTCGTTTATTTTAATCTCGTGCTCCGAAGGCGAACCATATAAAATGTATTTTGGATTATGTTTCATATTAGTTATTTCGTGACTTGATTGTATTATAGTTGAAAAGGAAACACCTATTGGTCAAGCTAAAAAAAGACATGTTTGAGAATTAAAACGACAAGACTACTCTATCAATTATTTTAAAAAAGAAAGTGGTTGAAGAAGGAAATATAAAATTTTTCAAGCTACATGCAACCTCCAACAACGCTAAGGCAAAGGTCCTCCACTTATACAGTGATTCCGACGGTAGAAACCTAAAAACAATTATTTACTAGAAGAAAATATCTGTACCATGGCCTACGCTCAAATTGACGAAATTGCGGAGTGTTTTTTAATTGTACCCAAATTTTGGTCATTTTTTTCAGCAAAAATATGATTTCGGAACAGATAAATAGAATGAAAGGAGGAAAACTTAAACAAATATATCTATTGTTGGATTAGAGCAATAATCTTAACTTGAATTACGATAAATTAATAGTAGAATTTTATGACATTTCATCCGATCTTTCTCACGATATTAATTATCTAGGTAGCGATTTAGATCCCTACAGACCCTAGGTTGCAGTGCAATCCTCACTTACTATCTAATAAGGCCACTGAGTTTGCAAACCCATATATTTTGAAAGAATACTATTATAACATACGCCCTCTATTTTCTCTTCCCTGTACATAATAAGTGACTCAATGCTAAAAAATTTCACATTTTGTTCAATGAGGTGGAAGTTTGAAATGGTCACAATCGAACTCGTTTCAAAGCGTTGGGGCCGTTCTAACAATAGGCGTTGATCATGTTGAAGGACTAAAAAATAGAGCTTATTTTCATTATTTTCCAAGGTATGGGTGATAAGACACCTTGTGAAACTTTAGCTCCAATTTACAAGTATTCGTAAGACCGGCTCAGTGAAAATATGCACGAGTTTTCAAACTGAGATTAACCAAGAGTACTGTGTATTTTTATTGAAGATTTGACAAGGTAAGTCTCATTTTGAATCCCTAAAATCGATAAATTTTAAAATAATAACAAAGATAATCCTAGTTTTCAATCCCATCTTCTTCAAAACAATAATCCTCTTCATTTTTTTCATTTTAGTCAAAATTATATTGCCCCAGATAGCAGTCCGTTGCACCAATCATAAATTGAACTAATTTATCTCAATAAAGAATTTAAAGTGTTTCGCAAATCTTCATTTTAAGCCCTATTCAAAACACCTGCTTTTTAAGGCTTAACGGCTTTGTCAAAAACTTTTCTATTCCAATTTGAAACGAAATAAAATAATTGAAATGATAATAACACCTGAGCACAATGGAAATTGCTTGTTATAAGCTTCAACACGCAGAACGAATAAGTTTACAGTCGCCGGCTTTCTGTCACTGCCAATTATTCCACTATAAATCCAGTTAAGACCTAATTAACATAAAAATTAATTCACCCGAAAAGAGTGTGGCTCAAACAAACGGTGCCCACAAGAGCGCCAATACGAAAGTGGGCCGCACAAATAATGTCTGACTACAAAGACAAAGCAGTGAAAATTTAATTGGCCACGCAGCCAGGAGAATAAAAGGGAAGAGGAGAATTAAAGTCAAATATACGCTGTCTTTGACAGTAATACATACACCTACATACTTACATTTAAAAACAAAAGAACAAAAGTATATAATTATGAGTACACATATATATATAAGCCAAAATATATGCGAGCACATTTATACTATATGTAAAGATCAAAATATGTATGTAAATGTGTCGCCACGCTGTCTGGCTGTCTGTTGAAAAAACTTTGTTAAAGTCACTCTATGGCTTGCATGTAACGTATACGCCGCGCGGTACGCTTTTCACTTTGCGGTTGAATTGTGAAACTCATTAAATTTTTTCTTCATGTCTCACATTTTATGGTGGTTCATAAACGCAATTGTAATTTGTAATTAAATGAAATTTAATTAGCCTGAATTTAGGCAAATTCTTTGAGGAATTAATTTTTGCCTCGCAATTGTATGCGAGGCATTAAACAGTGCTCGGCTAAAGGTTAGCAGAAATTTTATCTCGAATGAGAATTCAAACAAGTTTTTTTTAAATCATAAGCTACATTTTATGGTTGAAGAATTTGTGGTGGATAAATGAACTTTTACAAAGCACAAAAATATGTTTGAATTTCTATGTGTGCTGAATTTCGGATAATTTACATATTATATTTGCGGTAACGAATTGGGAAATCAAGCTTTGTTAAACTAGTATCAACCTTAAATAAATAATAAACAATAAATTTTGATAAATGTATAACTTATTAGAGGAAGTAGTTGGACACAGATTGTCGTTAAATCCCAAAATCGATATTGAAATAAAAATAATGAAAAGTTGTTTTAATCCAAAACTCTTAGATTAATATAACAGGTTGTTCAATAAGTTCGATAAGAGAGGGTGGATTTTGTACGTAAATTCTTTAGTATGGATGAGACTTGGATCTATTACCATGATGTTGAGTCAAAATAAGAAGCTAAAGAGTGGTGTGAGCCTGGCTGTTCGGCTCCGAAACGAGTGTGTGTCCAGAAATCAGCCAAGAAGGCTATGGCATCAGTTTTTCGGGATGCAAAAGGAATTTTGTTTGTGGATTATTTACATACTGGTACAACCATTAATTTTGAGTTGAAGGAAAAAATTCGTGAAAAAAGACCCGGTTTGTAGAAGAAAAATATCTCTTTTCATGAGGACAATGCACCGTGTCACAAGAGCATTTTGACAATGGCTAAAATCCATGAATTAAAGTTCAAAATGTTGGAGTATCCACCGTATTCATCAGATTTGGACTCCAGCGACTAGTGTTCAGGGAGATTATACTGGATAATAAAGTGTATTTTGGATCATAAAATTGTGTTTTTGTTATCAAATGACAAAACTTATGGAACAACCTGTTATGTGATGCTTACCAAACTTTTTTTTGTATAGTTCCTAAAAATGTATTCTTTTTTTTTTTTTTTTTGTTTTTGCTATGGAGACGTTCTCAGACAATTTTTCTGACGTCAAATTCGGTGGATTTAATTAATCCAATTCAAATCATAAATTAATCGGCGCACACACACACGAAAATTTTGCTTGTTTACATACTCATTGACCCAGAAATGGGTCTCATCGATGAACAAACTTTGGCTCCAAAGTGTTAGTTCTTCTTGTAACTTTTCAAAAACGAAGCGATATCGCTTGGAAATGTCGAGCGGTTTCGATTCTTGCACAAGCTTTATTTTGTACGGTTTTGGTTTAAGATATCGACGTAAAATGTGCCAAGTCGTTCCATTCGTCAGTCCGAGTTACTGCGAGCGCCGAATCGACTCTCCAAGGTCTTCGTGTGTTCACTCTCAGCTACGACTGCTATATTTTCTTCACTGAGTACTGGACATGGTCTTTTCAAGATGGATGATATTGTGAATAGTACGCTCACGCTTAAAAGAAAGCTATTGAAAAAAGTATCTCTACTTGGAGGTCCTTTACTTTACACGGGTATAAGAAAAAGCAAATCTAAAATGTTTACTTTATTGAAAACACAAAAATGTTCACATCTCGTGGCGTTAAATTGTAGAAAATTTAATATAAGTTTTCTAAACCACACCCAATTGTGACTACAAAACAACTTGCTAATGACGGCGTCAAGCGTATCACTTACTGTTGAAATAGTGAGTCTAACTTTCGCATGGTAAACAAAACGCTCATATCTGAGGCATACAGATAACTATATACATATATGTATATGCGTGCTAGTGTATATTGTAGATATATATATATATACATTATACCGCCAACACTAGTGCCGGTGCACGGCTTGGGTCCCTGCGCTCAAGTAACTTTAATAAAATTCAATCATTTGCTCAATTAGGATTCGCCAAACAAAACAGACAAGCAAAAATCTGTATTCCCTCCGCTTAACTGCCTGCAGAATGCGTCTTTCCTTTCACGAACAGTGCTTCATTTGTTCTTTAAATAAGTTATCTACACGCACACACACGCATATAGCTCCCACTACACCCACACTAGCGGACCAGCGTCGTTTATTCGCACGTGTTGATCAAAGACAGAGAAAAGTTTTCAGCCGGGAAAATCTTCACAGCTGAATGGCTGCTATGAAAAGCAAAACTTTAAGAAAATCGCCAACAGAAGCGTGATTATAGACGAGCTTTTTTTCGTCACGGCCACGACGTAAATTTTAACGAACGCTTATCGAACAGAAAGTGAAACAAATTGTCTGCACGCGCAAAATATTTAAAACACTTTTAAAAGCAAGTTGTTGTTGTAATTAAATCAATTTATTCGTATATTTGTGCTTTCACTCTCTTCCAGCTAAACACGCCAGCAATGGACGCTAAATTGGATTCGCGTCAAGGACAATTTCCGGCTTCCTTTCCGGACACATTCAAGGATTTCTTTGCCGTTATGAGCGAAGACGAAGATCATCTCGATTTGTTCTCGAATTTGTTGGAAGATAAGGTAACTTGAAATTAAAATTCTAATTATTTCTTAAGCAAATGTAAAAAAATAAATATAATATAAATGCAAAGCAAAACGATGAGGCATAAAATATATAAGTAAATTAATGAGCTATAATTAATAATGAAGAATTATCCTTTTAAGTTGTAGCTACCTATTTTCAAATAGGCAATGAAACAGTCTTCTAATTTACTCCCCTAACGATAAATAAATACAAACATGTCATCTTAACTATAGGGTGATCCAATTTGAAGCACCCTAAATTTTCTAAGAAAATATACAGAGACTTCAAATTTGATTGGGAATGTTTATTATCATTCGAAAGAACATTTTGTGACATTTATCTTTTTGAAATTGTATCTTTTAAATATTGGCCATAGCTACGTCTCAGATGATCAGTAGAATTCAATTTTCGATGACTCGTTCGAGCACGTCCAAGGCCTGAATGGAAGCAGAATTATCCGCATAGACTTTAGAATTTACATATTCCTTCAAGAAAAAGTCTAAGGGTGTGATAACACACGATCTTGGTGGCCACTTGACCGGCTCAAAACGTCAAATTCAATTTCAGGCGTCAAATAGTCGGTTATCATGGCGCGATAACGGTTCCCATTGACGGTTATTTTCTAACCGGCATCATTTTTGAAGAAATATGGACCGATGATTTTACCGACCCACAAACCACAACAACCCGTCTTGAATCTCTTCAGTTTTTTCTTTGTCACAAATGTGGAAATTTTTCTTGTTTTCATACCCATTGAGACAGAAATGGGCCTCAACGCTAAACAAAATTTGGCCCGTAAACGTCAAATATGCTTGAAGTCCGAGTTGCTGCGAACGGCGCCGAATCGACTCTCCATGGTCTTCATGTACCCTCTCAGCTACGGCTGCTATAATTTCTTCACTGCATGCTGAAAGTGGTCTATTCGGTCGAATATATTCAATAATGATATTGTTCAGCATTGTCTCAAGATGGGTGATGGGGTTCCAAACAGTATACTCAGGCCGATTATGGTGACCATGAATTGAGTGAAGGGCGCGATACACATTCTATACAGAACGTGAATTTTCGCAACAAAGTTGATGGATTTGTAAACCATGTTCAGGCGTAAGTCTTTCCATAATAAAATGCTGAACAATACTGAACAAAAATAGCATGACAGCTTGGCACGACTCACGAATGAACTGTCCGAAAAAGGCTATTCAAGAAAGTACATTTACTTGGATAACCCGTATATTTATACAAGTGGATTACCTAGAAAAAAAAACAACGCATTTAATAGCAATTTTTTTTTTATTAACTGCTCCAATACATATCTGCCAACACTTAATCCAATTTCTCATACATTTGTTATGAGTCTCGGCTGGGATGGCCGTCGATGCCTCCAGCGAAGTTAGGTTTTTCCAGCTTCTGCTCAGCTAAATTGTTAAGCGTCAAATCTTTTGGCACGAGTCTAGCATTGCCACGATTTATATCCAAAACATTAATACATCGAGTCGAGCCATAAGAGATGTTATGATCCTCTGCTATCTCCCTGATACCAACGCAACGATTCTCAAGCACTTTTTCTTAAACAGAGGATGACGGGCGACAGGCATGATTAAAATTTTCGAAGACTTCCCAACCTTCACTGAATGATTTGTGCCATTCAAATAATTGTGTTCAAGATAATGTATACTTCGCAAAGTACTTCTGTGGCATTTTCTATAATTCTATAATTAATATGATTAGTGTGAAAATTTAAAAATACAAGCAAAACCGTTGTTAAAGTTTTTGCCAAGCCTAAAATGGCCTTACAAACTGTTTGAAAGCTCCGTAAAGAAAGCTACCAAACAAACACTAATTGAAATATGGAGATCAAACTTCACGCGAATGTTTAAATGGACCAGTCTGAGTCAAATTTATATCTATATTTTTACATAATTACATCCACATTTAGATAAAAATGTGAAGCTCTTCTCTCACAAACTGTAACATATGATTATGATTTTGATACTTTCATTATGTATTTATTAAAGAAACGAGACCACTTTTAAGAAGGCAGTGCAAGTAGTTGATCACTCCGTATACCCCCGATTTCAAAATCTATTTGAGTTTTTATTCTGTAGGAAGTTGTAGATTCATTGTTGAACTTGTGGTTGTTGGTACGGATATCTAGACCATGTTTGGTAGTAAGGCGCATGCCAGTTGCCATCAAACTACCTAACGCGAATTTTATTAAAAGGGTTGGGATAGGGAAAGGGATTGGTTTCGTGAGGCATGTAAAGAAATTTTTTGGTCCAGTTCGACGATATTATCTCCACGGATTTGGAAGAGAAAGTGTTAGGTTCCTGTTGGGCTGTGGAAAAGCGAGAAAGCTTGTGGAGATAGGTGCTTACATGTTGATTGACGTTTCGATTGTCTACATTCCTTTTGTTATAGCAAATAAAGTTTTATTATCAAAGAGCGGTTGTCCGAAGGTGATTCGATAGATTGGACTTTGTTGAATTGTGCCACTTCAGAGGTCCCCTTTTCTTGTCCAGCAGTGTACTTTTGATTCGATTTAAATTTGATCAAAGGATCAGTGTACATACATATATCGAAATATTTCTGTGTTAGCTGCTCTTCCTATTCACCAAATCTAATATGATTGTACTTTTGATCCATCCCGTATCCTCTTACGTATTTTATGTAAACATCTGTGTAACTCTACCTTTTGTTGGTTACTTTTTTAATTAAAATCCAACGAAATCCTTAAATGTGTACATATATTATGTTTAATCATTATTAAATTTTACTTGCCCAGTCAGCACATTGACACATTCAATCACACATAAACACACACTCATATTGCTTTCAATACCTACACTTTAAGTCCTAACCTCTACCTCGTATTTAGCCAAGAAATACTGGTATTTCTACTACAAATTGCAACTAAACTGAATTATTTCTCGACAAACTCTAAAACTACTTTCCAACTGTCATAAATTCATTATACAAATAAGTGTTATCATTTTGCATACAAATCATCTCATACTCTGTGTCTATCTATCACTCTCGTTCTATATTTCGCATTTGGCGTGCAGGTGATACCGCATCACAACAATGCCAGCCACAGCACAGCGGCCAACACCAACCGATTTATACAACGTCGACACGGCGGGAGCCTCCGCTGTCCCACACACCCGCAAAGTGTCAGCGGCGAGGGCGCACACCACTCAGTCGGCCGCTCGAGTTCGTTTCGCGTGCATCGACCGCGCAACCCAGCGGCCACATATGGTGGTGGCGGTGGCGTTGGCGGCGGTATAAGTAACAGCAGCAGTATTATCACATTGAATAGCATCGGACAGAGTGGCGGTCATAGCATAGGCAGTGGACACAGCACTGGCAGTGGCAGCAGTGGTGGCGGCAGCGGTAGTGCCAATGGCAATGGCAATTTATTTTGCAAGCACATCAAATACTGCTGCCTGCATCAGCAACATGCACAACTGCCCAACATAGCAGGCACCACTCCGCCGCACCATCACCATCATCCCCTCCAGCATCAGCAGCAGCAGCAGCAACAGCAGGCACAGCCACAACAACAGCAGCCAACACAACCGAAATCACCGCATAAACACCGTTTGGCCCAGCAATCAGCACAAATGCAAACGAAATCCGCAATAACTGTGCCGACGGCTGCAACAGCTGGTCACTACCTACAACAACACGTGCATCAGTATCAGCCTACAGGCGCGGCGTATGTGTCGGATTACAGCAATGAGATTAGCGGTAGTGTGCGCATGGGACCGGACGGCGAGGACAACAGTGGTGGTGACGGCAGCAAGGATCGACAACAGCATTTGTATACTGGGCAACACATGCATCAGCAACAGCAGCATCACCATCAGCAACAACAACAGCGTGCGGCGGCGTTGCAAAAACGGCATTCGGTGATATTGGAAAGAGCATTCGATTTTGGTGAGTGCAAAACCATATTACCATATTTCAAAAGCACTCAGACCACACGCACACACATTACTTTTTAATTTTAACTCACAGTTGGTACTTATTTCGGGATTTTGGAATGAGATAGAGCTTTAATATACTCATTTACCTCACAAAGATATGCACAGCCTTTTCCACGGTATTAGATACAATTATCTCTGCAATCAATGTAATCAGTTCATTTTAAGTTAATCTCAAAGCGTCACATTTAAATATAGTAAACGGCGTGTAAGCGTTTACTTGTCCGCCAAGACAATGTAAATACTACCGATGCTTTGAKGGCTGTCGTAAACATTTTCAGAAGTGGTCTACAGTAAAGTTAAGGGTTTGCTACATACACTGTACTACCCCAGATGATAAAGTTTTTGCCTTAAGTGATAGTTCGAAGAGCGATCAGCTCTAACCTAGATTTATTGTATTTTTTACAAAGAATGAGCTTTAAAATCAACATGTTAGGGCCTTCCTTATGATTTTCCTGTCTGAAGAATTAAAAAAAGACCGGCTGATTCTATATGTTTCATGCAATGTGGGGAGCACATTATTAAGTTCCACAACTTTACTTCAAGCACTGTTTATATTAAAATTTTTAAGTAAAGCTAGTTAGTTAATTTCTTAAATCAACGTCCCCAGTATAGAGCAAAGATAAAGAGCCAGCAAAAGTAGGGTATTTCATCCGAAGTTGTCGTTTTCTTTTCATTGGGAGTAGTTTCTACGTGGCGGGTTCCAAACCCCGCTCACCTCTGGTCAACAGACTGACATTAGATTTCAGCGAACAATCTCTTTTAGCCATGGCTCCAGCCACAACACAGACTGGATACCGAAATAGTAGGAACTGGGTATGGTCCTACAACTGTAAGTGCTTACCCAGAAGCATAACCATACCCAATTTCAGCCTTAAAATCCAACGCAAAATCACTCTTGTCAACCGATGCTACTTTGGACTGGGTAGCCAATTGACGAACAAAGAATAAACTTTACAAATCCTACTATATGGACAATAACATTGTGTGATGAGTCGGCCTTAGGAGTGTTCGAGACAAAAGTTTTTTGGAAGATTTATGGTCCCCTGCGCATTGGCAACTTCGAGTACTGCAGTCGATGGAACAATGAGCTAACTGTAAGAGATATACTGGGCCATTGACATAGTTTAGCGAATCAAGATTAAGCGGCTATGCTGGCTAGGTCTTGTTGTCCAGATGGATAACCCTCCAACTTTGAAGGTTTTCGATTCAGTACCCGCCGGTGGAAGCAGAGGAAGAGGAAGACCTCTTCAATTAGAGAGATCAAGGGAAGAAGGACCCGGCTGCACTTGATATCTCAAACTGGCGTAAAATCGCGAAAAGAAGAAACGACTGAGACGCTGTTGTTAACTTGGCTATAATCGCGTAAGCAGTGTCTACGCCAGTAAAGATGAAGAAGGAGAAAGATGAAGCAATAAAAAAAAACAAAATCTGTTACACAGAGAGTTCAACTGTTAGCGAATTCGTACAAAAGGACTGGTTTTTATAATGACAAAAGTATGAACAAGTATCATGGATAAAAACAATAGTAAAATGATATCGTTAAAATAAACTGGCCGTCACGAACTACCAACTTAAATCCGTTTTGGTTTTATATACATTTATAAAGATGTGTCATATATCATTTCACATACAATTTTCTTTGCTAAATGTGTCAGTGTTTTCTCTATATTATATGGTAGGTGTATTCAGTAATAATGGCTAACATAAGATATGAACAATAAACGTATTATTATCATACATGCATATACAGGGTGTCACAAAATTAACGCAAGTAAATTCTCCGGCATTTTAATTAATCTCTTCACAGTTAACACAGTTTAAATACTATTCCGACCATATTTTATATGAAATACTCGAACTGCATCACCAAGCTATCAATATTTTTAAAGTATTGTTCAACAGTGAAGACACGTTGCTCCTGCGTATAACGCTCCATTTTTACTAAGAATAAACTGTGAACTGTCGATTTATTTTTGTTTAGGGTTGTCAACCAACACTTTACTACATAAATGGCGGAAAATTTAAATCTTGCTGTAATTTTGTTTTTAATTCCAAACCTGCGTTTATATTGAATCACTCTTCATAACTGACATGCCATTGAAAGCTATCCCTTTCCTCTATTGAATGTTTTCACTATTTCATCTTTCATTTCATTATTTTCATCAATTGTGTACCGCCACCTCCTCATTTGCTGCCTAATTTATTTCCGCTTCCATTATATTTCCTCCCCTTTTATGTTCATATTCGCCGTTATCTACAAATTCATAGTAACCAAACAAATATCAATCAACAGCACTTCCTACTTGCAAAAAGGCATCAACTGCTATGAATAGCCGAAACATCCTTTCAGCCATTAATGAAGCTACAAAATCACTGAGCTTACACGTCAAACACCGGTTTGTCCACTTAAGATGGCTATATTTGTAATGGTAAAATAGCGTTGGTCGCAAAACTCAAACCACAATTGGTCGCTTCCTTTGTCGTTTGTCGTTTTTTCATGGTTCATGTTACCAGCACTTACTCCTCCACTCCACTTGCCTTGTTTGTTTTATTATTTACCTTTGCTCACGAAATGTGCTCTTGTGCCTGTGCCTTGTTCGGGTTTTCTTCTATCAGATAATAAAAATTTTATGAGCATCAGCACAAAGGACAAGGAATCGTAAATCCACTCAGCTTAAGTGCACACGCGGGCTTTATTCACTGAAAAGTTGGCCGTGGAGTTTTTCGTTCAAATGAGATGATTTAATGCAATTTTTTATGAGATAAAAGCAAGGTTGCATTAATTTAAATGCGCGGTTATGCCGGGTTTTCGGCGTGCAATTAATTTGCTAAGATACATACGTGTATGTATATGATGTGTAATGATGTAGGGCAATGTGTTTATGGTGTGTCTAGTTGAGATAGATTTATTTAAGAATCCAAAAACCAAATAACACACTGACATCATTTCACTGCTGTGAGCCAAATGTAAAAATTAATTACACAAAAACCATAAAATTTGACATATGCTCCAATCTTTAAGCATGGTTAGAAAGGTTAGAATCAAAGCAGTATGCCATGTTGCATTATCTTGGTTAAAGAGTCGTCGGCTCATAATTCTGCCCTGTTTTTATACTCTCGCAACAAAGTTGCTAAAGAGAGTGTTATAGTTTTGTTCACATAACGGTTATTTGTAAGTCCTAAAACTAAAAGAGTCAGATATAGGGTTATATATACCAAAGTGATCAGGGTGACGAGTAGAGTT